AGATATTTTTCCAATTTTGCCAACACCATTTGTTAAAAAGGCTGTCGTTCCCCCACTTCACTGATTTCATCTCCTTGTCAAATATCAGTTGACCATTTTTTAATTGAGATTTTAATGAAAGTTTAGAGAACATGGATTTACATTCATTCATTTTTGCACATTTTCCTCCCTGCCCCCCACCAGTTCACATTTCTCTCTGAAAAAAAAAATTCTTTCATTGTTATGCAATCCCCCCAGTCCACTTTACTATACAGCTCTTATTCTGAACTGTTGTCATGAAAATAATACTTAATCATATTTTCCTTTTAAGCACTTCTCTCCCTCATCTGTTTCAGTGCAGTGTACATTATTTATCCCCTCTTTTCTTATTTCCTCTCACCCCTGATGTTAGTCCTGTTTTATAGCAGTGGCATTATGCAGTGTTTGTACCTTTGTGACTGATGTATTTCATTCAGCATAGTGTTTTTCATGGTCACCCATTTCATATGCTATTTTATGTGTTCCTTGTTTTTCAATGCTGTATAGTATTCCATTATGTGAATATACCATAGCTTCTCTATCCATTGGTTTGTTGATAGGCACTAGGGTAGTTCCCATCTCTTTGCTATTGTGAATTACACAGCAATAAACATAGGTGTACATATATCTGCTTGGGAGGCAGTTCTGGTTTCTTTAGTGTATATTCCCAGTAGTGTAATTGCTGGGTCAACTAGTATTTCTATTTCCAACTTTTTGAGAAAGCACCATACATCTTACCCCGTAAGAATAGCAACATTTAACAGAGCTGTAAACAACAAATACTGAAAATGTTCTGGAGAAACTGGAACCCTTATTCACTATTAATGGGAGTGTATAATGGTACAATCACTCCAGAAGGCAGTTTGGTTCACAATAGTTGGAAACAATCTAAGTGCCCATCACCAAACTATTGGATAGAGAAGCTTTGATATATTCACACAATGGAATACTATGCTGCAATGGAAAACAAGGAGCTCATGAAATATTATGCAAAATGGTTAACCCTGGTGGACATTATGTTGAGTGAAATATCTCAGTCACAAAATGACAAATACTGCATAATGCCACTGTTGTAAAATGGGACTGACATTGGGGTTGAGAAAAACTATGAAAAGAAGGGATAAATAATGTACACTGCATTGAAACAGATGAGGGAGAGAAGTGCTTAAAAGGAAAATATGATTAGGTATTATTTTCATGACAACAGTCCAGAATAAGAGCTGCATAGTAAAGTGAACTCAGGGGAGGGGTTGTATAATAATGAAAGAATTTTTTTTTCTTTTCAAAGAGAAAAGTGTACTGGAGGGAGTGGTAGGCAGGGAGGAAAATGTACAACAGTGAATGAATGGGAATCCAAAGTCTCTATAAACTTTCATTATAATGTCAATGAAAAAAAAATACAGTGACAGAATTAGACTTAAGCCAGGCTTTTATTTGAGAATTAAGAGAATACGTGTTTTCGTTAAAAAAAAAGTGGGTACAAGAGTTAAGCTAACACCACAAGATAAAGAGATAAAGGTAAACAACCCTATCACCAAATGGGCACAGGATATGAATAGACACATCACCAAAGAAGATACTCAAATGACAAACAAACACATGAAGAAATGTTCAAAATCCCTAGCTCTAAGAGAGGCACAAATCAATACAACTATGAGATATCATCTCACCCCAGTAACAATAGCAAAAAACAATACAGCAGAAAACAACAAATGCTGGTAAGGTTGTGGAGAAACTGGAACCCTTATTCACTGTTGGTGGGAGTGTAAAATGGTGCAACCACTGTGGCTGGTGTCTTCCTGGTGCCAGTAATGCTGCTTTGTGGTGGTGTAGTAGCATGGCCTTCTTTAGGCTGTGGGATGTCTGTGGTGGTGACTGACTCCTTTCTAGTCTCATCTGCGTTGAGGAATGGGTTTTACCATCTTATCATCCAGTAAGCTATATGACCTTCCAGCTGCTGCCTTGGATGCCTCTTGTGTGGTCCTGACCTTGGCAGACCCAGAGGAGCATCCTTTCTAGATAATTAAATGCTAATTGCTGCTACCCAGGCACAGCTGCCTCTCCTCTAACTGAGAGCTAGTGAAATCACTATCTGGGCTGAGCTATGCAACATTGCCTTGGGGGCTCCCACCCTGCCACCCCCCATCCTTGCCCCTTATCATGTTCCTACTGCAGAGGCTGCACTTATGTGAGGTGCTGAATTCACCCCACTCCTCACACACAGACACACAGAGGAAAACAGAGGGACCCCCTCCAGTTCAGTGCCTGAGTATCTCCACATTCTTGTTACACCTCTACTTGGAACTCAGGAACAACTCTTCCCTTTTGTCTCCTGCAGGGTGGGAAAGGACGCATAGGAGTGGTCATATCATCCTACATGTATTTCACCAACATCTCGGCAAGGTAGGCTGTATTGTGCGGCTATGAGATGAGCTGGGGTGAGGGGCCAACAGTAAGCAGCTTGGGGTGAATGTTTACTCCATGTGACTGCTAGTTCACCCTATGTGGTCCACCCCATGTGTGACCACTGGTCCACCCCATGTGTTACCACTGGTCAAACCCATGTGTGACCACTAGCCCACCCTATGTGTTACTGCTGGTCCACCCCGTGTGTGACTGCTGGCCCACCGCGTGTGTGACTGCTGGTCCATCCTGTGTGTGACGGCTGGTTCAACTTGTGTGTCACTGCTGGTTCAGCTTGTGTGTCACTGCTGGTTCAGCCCATGTGTACCCATTAGTCCACCCTGTATGTCGCCACTGGTCTAGTGTGTGACCACTAATCTAGCCTGTGTGTGACTCTTGGTCCAGCTCATATGTGACCATTAGTACAAGGCTCTGGGATCATGGCATCAGTGCTGCCACACTGAGTTAGGTGAGGTGGGGACTGGGGGGTTGAATTTACATTCCTGGATTTCTTGGTTCAAAAACCACTTAGATTGATACATAGGGGCAACAAAAGGCATTCAATTCAGTCTCCTAAATAATAAGGGCCAGTATTACTGCCATTAACACCAGAAAAGTACCACCTCTGTGCTACTGTCCTTTATAAATGGTCATGCCATGACCACCATCTTTCTGTCTTCTGGGCTTTGGGAAAGCATGCTGCTGTGCTCCTTTCCTCCCTTAGTCCTCTCAGTTAACCTGTGTGGCTGATACCACACTCCTCATTTTACAGATGTGCAAGCTGATGCCTATAGGGCTGGGAGTCTGCTTGTGCTCACGGACCTAGGGGTGGACAGCCAGGCTTGACCCACCTCTGTGGTCAGCCTTGCCCAGTGAAGTATTGGAAGGATTTGGTTTTCAGAAGCTACTGGAGAGGGATTCAAGGCTTCTGTCTGCTCTCCATGCTGTAGGCATTGGGTACAGCCAAGCTGGGACACCAGCCTGCACTCCAGGCATCAGGATGTGTAGGGTGAACCTAGATGCCACATCTTGACACACAGAGCTCCATACATGTTGGAAACTCAGTTTAAGAAATATTCTTTATGGATTTTAAATTGTAATCTGCCCTCTCTTTTCAATGCCCACTTTGTGAAGCATGAACTATTCCATTCTGAGGAAATATAAGCCTATTCATAGTAGCCGAAAAACCTTTTCCTTCCTAGCATTAGGGAGTGAAATCTGACTTTCTGAATGTTTTCTCTGGAAGCAAATTGGAGAGCTTTTGTCTGCCAGGGGGGAAACTCAAGCCCCACACGAAAATCAGATACCCTCTTGTGATAATGAGCATTTGTGCACATGCCAGCCTGGATAAGATTCTTGGCACTGTGGAGTATTCCATTCAGCCAGAGACATTTGGTCAAAGACCAAATTGAAACTGTGGAACCCAGGCAAAGACCACCTTTTGCATTTCTGCCCCCAACACTGCAGTCCTTTATGGAACCAAAGGTCCAGGCCTATGGACAGTGCAGTCCACTTTAGAAAGGATGGGAGAAATGAGCCTTTTCACTTTAAACATTTCAGCAATACCATGTCGGAAACCCAACTTGTTCAGAATGCTTAGGAAGTATTTCAACTGTGTTTGATGTTGTAAGTTGGACCTTAACACTCTGTGAAAATGAATGTATGCATTGTACGTGAAACACTTAGAATAAGATTAGTACACATGTTGCTGTTGATAACAGGAATGGTGTTAAATACTTTTAAATAAAATAGGATGACACCACATTCTTTTCTAACCTGTTTTTCTAAACACTATTTTATAATAGCGGCATTACCATCATTTTAATGACTATGTAGTGCTTCAAATCCAGCTTAACATAAAGAAAGTTGACAATTCACTTAATAAACAATATCATGGTAAATGAGGAAAAGATTTAACATGTCAAAGATTTAATTACACAATCAATGACCATGGAAACAAAAATCAGGAAATCAAATGGCACATTGCATTGGGTATATCTGAGGACTATTAGAACCGATGTGTGGCTGACTCTGGTGAGTTTTCAGAGGCTGTAAATCTGGCATGGATGAGATTTCCTGTCTTTCTCCTAAAGAGCAGCTGGTGGATTTGAACTGCCGAAGAGGCACAGCCTTTGAGTTTGCAGCACAACTCTCTACTGACTATGACATCAAAGGTGCTAGACTTCAAAGTCAACCAAAATAAACAGATTCACTCAATATTTTCAATATTCAGAATTCAAATGGACCTTTTAGGTGATGACAGTCTCTTTAGATCAACACCTTATTTAGACAGATAACAACAGTGAGGCCCATTTTAGAGCATAGGATGGCAGTCGAGTCACTCTAAAGTAAATTTTGAGTATTTAACTCTGATCTTCTGTCTCTCTATTTTCCTCTAATATCTTCTCCTATCCCTACCCCCCACCTTGGTGGTAAAATTTTGGACTATAAATTTTAAATGGATGGGCACATGTATTTTTTTTTTAAAAGGAGGGTCCAAACTGACAGCAGACTTTTGAGATTTGACATAAACACTCTTAGAAATTTAGATTTGCTGCATTGGTGTACCATTATTTATTTTGAGTCATATCAGGATAGCTAAGGTCTGATTTAAGGATGTTTTCTAATGGTTTGTTAAGTACGACCATGATCATTAGAAATTCATGGTGAAATAGATTGTTTGAAACATTTGGATTTTCTTCTGTTCACTAAAGGTGGGGGGGAATTGGTAGCTTTGAGCACACTATCATGAAGGACCAGTTCTTGCTGATAGCCATCAGAGAAAGAGGAAGTCCCTCAACAGGATGGGTGACCTGACTGGGGCAGTGGGCTCGGGCATATTGGAGATGATGAGGGTGGTGCAGGTAGGGTTCAGTCTGCTGCTGTTCACAGAGTTGCTGTGAGTTGTAGTAGATCTGAGGGTGCCTGACAACACCACCACAAAGATGTTAAGATAACTCTTAAGGTGCTCTTACTGGGCTCCAGTGTGTGGTCTAATGCAGAACCCATTTAGACTGGCCTCATTTTTTTGAGAGGCAGAGGGGACACAAACTGGGTTCGGATGTTCACCACCTGGAAATCCACAAGCAGGCTGTTATTCCATGAGCTGTATCTGCGATACGTTTGTTATTAGATCCTCGGGTGGGATGGTGGTATCTCAGCTGAGCATTCAGACCCTACTGGTGTGGCTTTCACATTGAACTTAGGAAAGTAAATTCTATGAGAAGATGGTGGAAGTGAATTTATAGGTGATGTATAGCAAAGGAATAGGCCTCCTAGTAGTAGTTGTCACTCAGTTCAATCTAGAATTCTTGTCATCTTTCACCAGACTGTGCTCTGGGAATGCAGCTGAGTCAATAACTTACTTTTTCTCCCCACAGTGCTGACCAAGCCCTTGACAGGTTTGCAATGAAGAAATTTTATGATGATAAAGTTTCAGCTTTAATGCAGCCATCCCAAAAACGGTATGTATTTCTCCACCTGTCTGCTGTATCTCTCCTCCCTCAGGAAAAATGTTAGTGGGATTTTATAGTAAAATAAGGCCACAGAGCACTCTTTCCTGAAAAAATCTGAGGCAGTCCTGTGACCTGCCACTAGGGGACCTGCTGAAGAATCTAGAGGAGGGGCTTGCTCATAGTGAGAAGAGAAATGAAGGGAAGAAGAACGTGTGTTGACAGTCGGGCTACCTACACCCTGGTTAGTTCCAGAGAGAGACGTGGATTCTCTCCTTCTCCATGGCCACAGCAGTTTGAGTTTTCTGCTCCTATAAGAAGTTTTTATCTTCATTATTACTCTGTACTCTGTTCCTGTCAGAATTGATAAACGAGATACTGAAAGAAAATCAAACGCACTGCTGCCAGAGCTCTTAAGACTAAATTTCTGTAGGTGGAGATTACCAGTCCTCCCAAGCACTGCCTGGTATATTTGAACTGCTGACCTATTGATTAGCAGGCCAATATGACACAGACTAACCCACCTGGGGCCTCTTTCATAACTACTCTAACTTTGCCATTTCCAACAAGAAAACAGCCACATCTAGAATACCATTGACTAGGCATAGCTATGTTCTAAAAGAACATTTTTGCATAGCTTTGTGGCCAAGTTTCCCACACAGGTCACGGTGGGCTGACTGTATCTTGAACATCTGATTCCCTAAGACCAGGGCAGTGTATACTGCAGTCCTTGAGCACAGGCCCTTTTTTAATGCCTGTGTCACACTGGCTTCCTGGATGTGCTGTTGAGTGTAGAAGGATGGCCATGGGGGACCAAGATTTTCTACTTTTCCTACCCGTCCACAGGAGTAGTTATGAAAGAGGGCCCAGGTGGTTTAGTCTGTGTCATATTGGCCTGCAAGGAGAGACAGGTCTTTGGAGAGGGACATCATGCTGGGCAGAGTGGAGGGACAGCGCAGGAGGGGAAGACCCTCTATGAGGTGGATTGATTCAGTGACTGGGGTAATCGGGATGGGTGTGTCAGAGGCAATGAGATTGGCACAGGATAGAGCAGGGTTTAGGGCTATTGTACATAGGGTCGCTATGAGTCGCAAACGACTCGACGGCACATAACAACAACAACAACAATGTTAAAGCTATTGAACTAACATGTTATCATTATGTGTCATGGAGTCAACTACAATTCATAGCAGCCCTGTGAACAACAAATCTGATCCTTGCCCAGTTTTGCTGTCATGATCTCTGATGTGGTCGAGTCCACAGTTAATAGTCACTGTGTCAATCCATCTTGCTGGGATTCTTCCTCTCTTTCTCTGACCTTTCTCTACCTTACCAGTCATAATGTCTTTTTCAGGGACTGGCTCTTCCTGGCAACATGTCTAAAATATGTGAGATAAAATTTCACCATCTTAGCTTCCTTTTTAAATTACTTTTTTAAATTAGTAACTTCAACGAAAATTTACAGAGACTTTGGAATTCTATTCATTCACTGTTGCACTTTTCTCTCCTCCCAACCCTCCCCTCCAACCATCCTAGCTTCTAAGGAGCACTCTGGGTATGCTTCCTTCATAACAGACTTGTTTATTCTTTGGGTAGTCGGTGACATATCTTGAACATAACAATTCAAAGACATTCTGTCATCCTTAGGCATTATCCAAATTTCAGATGCACAGGAAGCAACTGAAAAAAACAAATCATGGCTTGACTCAGGTGCACTTTAGTCTTAAAAGGGATTCCTAGATCGTTTAATTATGCTCTTGAGACACATACATCTGACCTATGCACTGAGGGCGCACCCTTGCTCTTTAGTAGTCTGAAAAGGTCCTTGACAACAGATTTTCCCAGTGCAACACTTTTTTTTTAAATTTCTTAACTGTTGTTAGAATGGATTTTGACAGAGGATAAATCTAAAATGAAATTGTTGATAACTTCAATCTTTTCTTCATCTATCATTTTGCTGCATCTTAGTCCACTGATGACAAATTTTGTTTTCTTTATGTTGAGATGTAACCTTTATTGAAGATGTTAGCCTTTGATCTTCTGCAGCCAAGTATTTTAAGTCCTCTTCACTTTCAGCAAACAAGATTATATTATCTGTATAATGCAGGTTGTTAGAGCATCTTCCTCTGATCCTGATGACACATTCTTCTTCATATAGTTCAGTTTCTTAAATGCTTTGCTTAGCATACAGATTGAATAGGTATGGAGAAAGAATACAGCCCTGACACATATCTGTCTTGATTGTAAACCGTGCAATGTTCCATTGCTTTGTCCAGATAATAGTTTCTTGCGCTAGGTCTGGGTGTCATATGAGTACAATTAAATGTTCTTGGATTCTTGTTCTTCTCAATGTTATTCATAATTTATTTTGATCTACACAAATGCCTTTGCATAGATAATAAAATACAAGTAAACATTTTTCTGAAATTCTATGCTTTCAGCCAAGATCTATCTAACATCAACAATGACCTCCTTTGTACCTTGGCCTTTGCTGTATCCAGCTTAAATTTCTGACAGTTCTCTATTGATATTTCTTCTGCTTGTTGTTGTTAGGTGCCATCGAGTCAGGAACAACTTATAACAACCCTAAGGACAAAATATCTAAACTGTGTTCTATCCTGTACCATCCTCAAACTTCCTGACACACAAGAGCCTATTGTGGCAGTCACTGTGTCAATCCACCTGGTCGAGGGTCTTCCTTTCCTTCACTGACCCTCCACCCTTCCCAACATCATGTTCCTCTCCAAGGAATAGCCCCTCCTAGCAACATACCTAAAGTATGTGAGGCAAAGCCTCATCATTCTTGCCTCCAAAGTGCACTCCAACTGGATCCTTTCCACGGCATCTGTTTGTTCTTTTGGCCATCCATGGGGTGTTCTCTGCTCTTCTCCAAAACTACAGTTCAAAGACATCAGTTTTTCTTCTGTCATCCTTATTTATTGTCCAGCTCTCAGATGCATAGCGAACAACTGGAAAGACTATGGCTTGAATCAGACCACGTTAGTCTTCCAACTGACATCATTACTTCTCAGTAATTTGGAGAGGTCTCTAACTGCAGACTTTCCCAGTGCAGTGTGCCCCCTTATCTCCTGACTGCTAATACCAAGGGTGTTAATTGTGGATCAAAGCAAAATAAAGTTCTTGACAGTTTCAATCTCTTCTCCATCCATCCTGATGCTATTGGTCCAGTGCTAAGAATTTTTGTTTTCTTGACATTGAGATGTAATCCATACTGAAGGATGCATTCTCTGATCTTCTGCAACAAGTGTTTCAAGACCTCCTCACTTATCAGCAAGCAAGGTTGTATTATCTGATAATGGAGGTTATTGATGAATCTCCCTCCAGTCCTGATGGTCACACTCCTCTTCATTGAGTCCAGTTTCTTGAATAACTTGCTCAGCATATCGATTAGTAAGTATGGAAAGAGAATACACACCCTTCTTAATTTTACACCATACAGTGTTTCCCTGTACTGATTGCACAACAGTCTCCTGGTCCAGGTGTAGGTTCTGCGTGAGTACAATTAAATGCTTTGGGACTTCCATTTTTCTCAAGTTAAGCCACAATTTGTTGTTGTATTATTCCTTAAAAAATTCAGCAAGGTTTTACTTGCCTGTGGCATTAATGATATTGTTTGTTACTTTCCACATTCTGATGAATCATCTCTTTTTAGAATGGTAACAAATATGGATTTGTTCCAATCAGTTGGCCAGGTAGCCTGCTTCCAGATTCATTGGCATAGAGTGATGAGCATGTTTAAGGCTGCCTCTCTTTGTTGAAACATGTCACTTAAGTATCTCTTCGATTATCACTGAAACAACATTAGTAATGGCCTGTTAAGGTAACTTGTTTTCAGCAAAGGAATTGGATCATTGAAAATTCCTCAAACAGAAGACAACAGGAAGTACCACTTGGTCAAAAGCCCCTGGTTTTGGCCTCTTGGAAACCTCAGTGTGAGTCCCCTACTCATGGCAACCATGTGAAAAATGGGGTAAGACTGCTGTGGTGTAGAGGATGGCATTTGCTGGCTTTTGGAAATAGGTTGCCTGCCTAGTCTAACCCGGTTTGAAAGCTCCACTGAGACCTGTCCAGTGTTGTTGCAACTTGGGTACCACTGACAGGTGGATATTAGCTGGACATGAGGTGTGTTGGCCTGTAATTCAATCTGTGTCCCCTCATGGAGTATGGAGATTCGAGCATGGGACTACCAGTACCCCAACCTATCCTCATTTTCCCCCAGTGATGATTTTTGGTGGTGTATCTGAGGACATCTACGTTTATGTCTCTTAAAAAACATATTTGCAATGAATAAGTCATTGATTGTGCAAAATTCAATCATTCTATCTCCAGCTTCATTTCTGTCACCAAGTCCATGTTTTCCAACTACTGATTCTTTTTCCCTGTTCCCAACTTTTGCATTCCAGTCTCCCATTATTGTCAATGCATCTTGATTACATGTTCAATCTATCTCTGCCTATAAGAGTCGGTAGAAATCATCTATTTCTTCATCTTTGGCTCTGGTTGTTGGATCTGGATGATAGTGGTGTTCACTGTACTTCCTTGTAAGCGTATGGATATAATCCTATCACTCACAATGTTGTACTTCAAGATGGACCTAGAAATTTCTTTTTTGACTATGAAAGTAACTCGATTTTTCCTCACCTTTTCGTCTCCAGAATAATATATCATATGATCATCTGACTCGAAATGCCCCATGCCAGTCCATCTCATCTCTCCAATGC